AACTCCAGGCCTCGAGGGCCGGTTTTAGATGTGTCCTTGATCCAACACAGCTGATTCAAATTGCTGAATGACCTCCTCAACATGTCTTGAAGTTCTCCAGAGGCCTGGTAATGAACTAATCATTTGATTCAGGTGTGTTGACCCACGGTGAGATCTAAAATCTGGAGGACACGGCACTTGAGGCCTGGAGTTGCCCACCCCTCCACTGCATGATCACATGGATGCAGTCTATCAATCACAACGTGTGTCCTGACCTTCTCCACACTAACTGGGACCATCGTTTGCAAAATGAACATCATATTACATCTAATAAGACTTGCAACGCAGTGATTGAGCCCATAGTGCCACCAGAAAGGTGTTTATCAAGACAGAAGTGAGAAGTGGTCAGTTGGATTTTTATTGCCTGGCTGTTTGGTGGCTTTGGTGGAACCAACAGCCGTGATCAACACTAATGTACAGTGTAAGGCCATGAGCATGGGTGTTGGCTCCACATGGAGAAACTTTCACTCTTCATCATCAGCTATTTAATACTATATTTAAAAGTAGTGTTCTGATAATGGCTGCCAGCAGTTAGTGTGTATTCAGCATATTTTCACCACATAAGTCACTTAGATGGAGCTTATTTGTAGAAACATTTAAAAGAAGATAACATTTTCCCCCTGGACTCCTGCAGACCAACGCACTCTTAGCGAGTTTGAACTAGAAGTTCAGCCACTTCGAGTGTCCCACGTTCCCCTCTGAAACTCCTGCCACTCCTTCATCGGGTTTCATTCATTTGGCTCATACTTTGTTGACCCAACTGTGGGCTGGAGTCTATTTTCAGCAGCTCTACTGCTGGTTCAGCTGCACAGATAACGAGAACTGTAGTCTGATCTGGCACCAGAAATGATGGTCGCAATATGAATCTTTATTTCTCTGCTGCAGCTTCGCTAATGAGACGGAGTAATTCAGGAGGTAAAAACTGCGCTCCATCAAAAACAGAATAGAATATGGTCTTTCAGACCACCTTAATGGTTTTATCAACATTTTGCTGCTCCTGCTCTTCACTTGGATGTAATTAGGATTCCTCAGGAAAGCCTTCATTTCTCCCTCCGTCCTATGCTGCTTGTTTGCATGCATGTAAAGCTATCACAAGGGTAGAAATCGTGACTGAATAAAGTGAGCTGTTCCAGAACCCTTCTAGTTTACATTTTGGTTTTGTAAGTGTGGAATCTCCTGGGCCCTGTTTGTGTAACACCAGGCCTGCAGCACTAGAAAGGCAGCTTTTCTCTTTGCATCTGAAAAAGAAAGGAGAAAAAAAACAACCTGCACGAAAACTTGATCTCCCAAAAAATAATATTAGTCCTCAGGTTTTAAAAGACTCATACAGACAGTGGAATTTGTGCAATCTTGCAAATATCATAGAACAATTACTGACTCACATCTGAACTGTGAGGCAAACTGCGAAACCGCGTGCAGCGAAGGACACCAGCATCTCTCATGTTTAAGGAAGCTTCTT